ATATATATTATATATATTTATTATATATTATATATTATTATATATTATATATTGTATATATTATATTATATATATAATATATAATATAATATAAACATTCACTGTATTTTCTCATTACACCTCATATGTGCCTGGCTCTTTGCTGAACACCTTCTTGAGAGACTACCTAATGGTGATTCAAGTGGTAGCCTATTTTACATAGGAGGAACTTGAAATTGAAAAAGTTGATCAGCTTTTCCTGTAGCCACACAGCTATTAACTGAGGGAGAGGTGTGGAAAGCCAGGTACAGTGGTTGGTTGTAATTCAATTTGGTTGCAAGTCAATACAGCTAAGATCTGGATGTTTACCTGGGTATACACTATAGATAACAAGAGGCAGATGAATCTTCCATTAACCTAATTAACCCAAGTTGTTCATATGTTAGTCTGGTCATAATCTGAGTGTGCACTGTATGTCTGTTGTCATCCCACCTCATCTGGTCAAATCTCCAAAGAGATGGCTTGGGGAGGATGACCAAGGCCATCTCCACCCTGTCCTCTGTACATCTCCTCATACCATTCCCTTATAACTGCTCTAGATCTCCCTGCCTATTTACCAATGTAAGCTCATAACTTCCTTGAGGCCCAGTCTCTGTCTACTCCATTCCTGCAAGAGGTGCCTTGAGCCGTATCTCCCTGGCTACATCACTCCCTCACTCATACTCTTCAGCACTAAGCAGGTGTTTGATCCATTGGTACTCAAAGTGTGGTCTATGGACCAGTAGCATCAGCACCACCTATTTACAAAAGCAAATCTCAGGCTCCATCCCAGAACACCAAGTCTGCATTCTGGTAGGCTATCAAGGAGATGTGCACATAGTGAAGTTCCAGAGGGACTGAGCTAGATCACCTTGGCACATTTTGTGTACCAAGGGCCTTTCAGGTCTCTTGACACAACTAGAGAATAAAATAACTAGGTTTCCAGAGGCACTAATCTATGCAGGGACTATCAGGATGTTCATTAGGGTCCACATTAGGAGGTTAGTGGTTTTAAGTCTTAGCTGCCACTATTTGGAAAGACAAATTTCTGTCCTTGACTCCTCTAATTTTGACCCCATCTTGGCTCTGAACAATGAGTCAGCAGTCCTGGCTCTGAGGGCCTAGAAAGGCAGAGAATGCTCCCAGCCTGATTGCCTGAAGCCTAAATCAGCAAAGACAAGGATGTGAAACCCTTCTCCCCAGGGCCTCACAGGTAGAAGAGAAATGTTCTGGAACAATGCTATAACCTTGGGGTCATCCAGCACAAAAGTACAGACACCATCTTTTCAAGAGGCAAGAAAGTGAAGGCATCGAAAGGGGACCTGCTTTCCAGCAGGCCATGGAAGCATTACTCTTCATACATCAGATTGGAGAGAGAAGGAGCTGACCAGATGCCACAGTATCACTGAGCTAAATAGGGGCCCATTCACGGGAACTGCCTGGTCTCCCATGCATACCTTCTTCCCATACCCTCCCCTAACCCATGATGACTTACTTGCAATTCATCCTTTCTTACCTAAGAATCCTATGAAATAATAGGCGTTATTTGGTTTTCCTCCTAATGCCCCTAAAGATTGTGGCATCTTAAAACACTCCTGGAGGGAAAGAGAATGCAAGATTCTCAGCTCACTTGTGGACTGCTGCTCACGGATCGATGTGCTGAGATGGCAATGTGATGGGCAGGCAACAATGGGCTTGGGGCATGGAACAACTTACTTTGAATGCATCAACATACACAGGATTGATTTGGTTTATGCCCAAGCGAAGGGGCACAATGAGGAGCAGGGGTTTCCAGGCTGGGCAGAAGGCAGAGGTGCCTTTACTCTGGTTCGAAGTGATAAAAGAATCAGGGGGGCTTTCGTCAGCCGTGTCAGCACTAAAGGGAAGGATTCGGCACATTTTTTCTAGAAACAGAAAACAAGAGATCTGGGGTAAGGCATTCTTACCATAGGAAATACTCCAAAGGTAAAACTAAGAAGGTTTTCCTTGCTGCCACCAAGGCCCAGCCCCACTTCCCACAGGAAACCCAGGACATTCCTTCATTGAATACTCGCTAAGCTCCCAAAAGGTATTCTGGGTTCATTGAGAGAATCGCACTTCTCAATTAGACTGCAAGAGTTTTTGAGATAGGAACTGTGTATTTAAGTTTCTCTCACACCCATGGCAGAGGACATAGGCCCTGATAAGGGTGGACCTCCACAAGCCATCTACTGGTGGTTTCATAGATTAAACACATTTTGGGTCACCTGCAGGGAAAGGGAGTGGTATATCTTTTAGAGGCAGCAAAAACCCTCTAACAGTTGAAGGTGAAAGGGAAGAAAACCAGAACCTCACGCTCCCCTACGCTCCCCACCCTGGTGGGGCAGGCCAGAAAGATTCTTTTGAACCTCAGATTTCTAAGTGGTGAGAAAAGAACTCATCATCCACCAACTAAGAAGGTAAGCAAGCTAGGAACTCACTGATATCTTCAATGACCACTGTGTTATCCATTGAAACATAAACAGCCAAGGAATTCCATTCATCAAATAAAGCAAGTTTTCTGCAAAGCAATACATAGTGAAGTCACAATTGGAGAAGATGAAAATATCAGCAAGGTATGCCCAGTGCTCCTAATGTCAAGAAATGCTTAGCCACAGAGAAGGTGGTATTCAGGTTAGCTCTGTCTCCTTTGACAGAGCTCTGGGACATTCCATGTCCAAAGACCTTGAGAATGCCACAGAGTTACTATATCTGAACTTCAAAAAGAAGCTCTACTTCATAACACAGAAAAGCCTCCCTCACCAAATGACAGGCCTCCTACTGGGCAAAAAATAAAAGTTACTGATGTTTTGTTTCCTTAAATAAGACATTATTAATTATTGCTTTTATTGAAAAATAAAGGAAAACTATCATTAAAATATATATTTGGAGCTGGGGGTATAGCTCAGTTGTTTAGCATGTGTTCACCCCTCAGCACAGCCAAAATAAATAATATATATACATATATACACATGTGTTGAGAGAATAGATTTATGAAAAGTGACAGAGAGAGAGAGAGAGAGAGAGAGATGCTTTTATTCCCCTTCCCAGCTGTTGCACTGAAAATGCCATTCAAGGAGGCTTACATCACAGATGACTCAGGTGGGTGTGGAACTTTACTAGTCAGCAGCTGAAGAGACACAGCATACTGAATTGCATGACTTAAACCCCCTTTACAGGAGAGATCTGAGTTCTAAATAAGGTACTCTGCCTATTTCTCTCTTCCCTTCTTTTTTGCTGGCTTGAAAGAAGACATGTTTCATCTGGCTACTTCTGGGATACATGAATAAACCCCAAACTCACTGGACAAAATTTTAAAAAATCTCTCTACCAAAGTAGCACCAAAGAAGAAGTTAATTAGCATTATACTTTTATTTCACTCATTTTAATGTATTACCTTTCCCCATAATAATAATGATAATAATAATAATAATACACAGTCCTCAACTTGCAATGGTTTGACTTCACTATGGTGTGACAGTAATACAAGCTCAGTAGAAACTGTACTTCCAACACTGAATTCAGATCTTTCTCTGGGCTAGCAATATGTGGTCTGATCCTCCTTCATGATGCTGGGCAGCAGCAGCAGCAGCAAGCCACAACACCTAATCAGCCAAATAATCACAGGGCAAAACAATTGATACTCTGTAGTGGACTGCATTGCTAAGCTGGGGTGCTCAATAGGTTAGGTGTATTTGATGCATTGTCAACTTATGATATTTTCAACTTACAGTGGCTTATCAGAAAATAAGCCATCCTAAGTCAAGGAACATCTGCACTATTGTTAATGGTAACAATCAGATGAATCAGAGCCCACTTAAAATCTAAAAGAATATGGGGGCCAGGGATTTAGCTCAGTGGTTCTGCCGCCTGCCTCGCAAGTGCAAGGACCCGAGTTTGATCCTCGGTACCAAAAAGAAAAAAAAAAATCTAAAAGAATGTGCTTCTATCTGTTTATTGTTGGGAACCTTAACATTTAATGGAAAGAAGGAAATTCTGAGGGATATTACTTTAAAACTAACCATTTCAAGCCAGGTTTTAGGCTTAGCACAGTCATTCTAATCTTTTACACTTTATGCCCTGGGTTCCTACTGCAGTTCCAGAAACAGGGCAGATTTCACTCAGCACAGTCAATGATAACCAAAAGGCTCTCTGACTAAGGCAAGAAAGTGTTCTCAGGGAGGCTATACTGTTAGTAAGGAGTAAAGTCAACATATGAGTTTTCCTTCTGTCCCCAGGAAACCTAGACAGCTCCCCTCATACGCACACTTTCAAAGCATTCTAATTCACTGTAGATTGGCTAACAATTAAATCAGGGGCCTTCTGTACTTTACATGGAACAAGTCCCACCATAATTAACAGGAATTGGAGAATACTACACCAAAGGAAGCCTAGTGGTTTCAAACTTCTGATCCCTAAATCTGGCCCCTGATGCTGGCTGGCATTTTCTTTCATGCATCAAGAATTTATTGAGCACTTATGTGCCATGCATTTTGAGCACTTATGTGCCAGACAGTTTGATGTGCTAGTGTTACAGAGTAAGCAAGACAAATACAATCTCTGCCCTTAATGCATTTTCATTTGGTGACAAGTTGTCAGGAAGTAGAGAGTGGCAACAGGTAAGGTGGCCTGCAGGTGTAGGTACTGAAGCCACTTACCCAACTGTTCACTTGCAAAATGTTCATCCTGACCACCCTATCTCACTTCTTGCAATAGGAGGTGAGTTCAGGAATTTAACAGGACAACTATAAAAGTACCATGCTGGGGCACTTTGAATCTGCCAAGAAATGACAATGTGATTCCAAGACTGCTTTGGGGTTTGTCTCCTCCACTAGATGGTGAGTTCCTTGAGGTGAAGACTGTATCTAGTTTATTTTTATACATCCAGCACTTAATATAGTAAAGCCACCCAGTAAACACAGAATGTATTTCTTTATACTATGCTGAGAGGTAGTCCATTTGTTGCTTAGGCTGGCTAAGCCTCTGCTACTTAGTATGAAACTTTTCACCTTGAAAGAGCCTTAGGCCAATGGCTCCCTGGCATATGAACATAAATCTGTAGGTTAAAATGCTAAACAAGTCCTGGAGTATATCCACAAACCGATACCAGTGAATACAACTCTGACACCGAGACAGGTCCACACTTAGAACTGCTTGAGCCAAATGGTATCAAAGCTTAGCAGGAGTGGGTGGCTTAGTGGGACGGCAAGAATATTTAGGCTGATGAAAAGTTTGCTTGGCTGGGGACAGAAGCATAGGAGATAGTAAAATAGGCAGATGCCAGACTCTTTTACTTACTTTAATACTTGTGCAACTGTATTTGGTCCAAACCATTCGCCAACTGATTTCCCCTCTCCTACACCCATTTGTGCTGTTTTTAAGCGGAAAAAATTAACATGTTAGCAAAACATCTTCCAGTGAGCCACAAACTCCTAATTTTTTACATAACAGATGGACAACTTAATGCAGTCACATATAAGGCATGGGGAGAAAAGATCAACTATATGTACTGCTTTTCAACTACTGATTTATGATCTTACCCATTTGATGGATAGAATAGCAACAGTCTTTTCTATCTAAGAAGCACTGTAGAATCCGTTGGTACTCTTTGGGTTGTTCTTTTTGTTTCTCCCAGTTCCAGTCTTTTGAGGGAAAAATGAGTTAATGTCATTTTTATAACTATTTATTACCTCTTAGAACACTTACTATAACTACAAATTCAAAGGAAAACAAAAAAGGTACATTTAGAAGGTAAGAATGATCAAGTTAGAACATTCCTAAGTATCTTTCATTTTGATGACAAAGACATCTGGAAACTGATTACTTTCTAAGACTCAGTACAAAGCAAAAGCCAAAAAAGTAGATGACCAAGGGACTGACCTAGCCCAAAGCCTGGATCTGGATAAATATTACATAAAGATGGTGTCACAAAGACCTTTGTAGGCAGCTACTCTGAATGGGAGGTCAACATAAAACCTGGCAGCACATCTATATATTGCCCAGATACCATAATATCTCATCACACTGACAGCAACTGTTTTTATCTTTACATGCTGGCAGCATTGCCCAAAGGGTCTTGTGTGTGTATGGAGGGGGGTGCTAGTGTGACACACAACAGTTTACAGGATTCATGGCTAACAAAGATTGTTTTTAAAAAAACTATATGCTGCCATTTTTACATCACCTTTTCAAAAGTTAACACTGAGCTTTTTTTTTCAGTACATGTTTGCAGTACATAATGATTACATTCTTTATGAGGAGCTGGTACATGTACATAACACATCTTAATTCTTTTTGTTTCCCCTTCTACCTCTTCTCCCTCCCCCACACCAAGCTTTAGAAAACAAATACCGTTATTATCAAGTGTGAGAGGTTTTAAGACCAAAGTCACAATCACCACTACATCTGTAGGGATCCATCTGTGCTCCCCAAATCCTACAGAGACCACTTACAATTTACTGAGGACAACTGAAAATGCTACATAATCACTGCTATGGATAGGATGCACTGCTATCATTCTCTCAGCTCTAGAAATCCTTCTAATGGAGGAAATTTGAGGCTCAGTTTGCTTCTAAGAAATTTCTCTCCTGAGGTTTTAGAGTTTGAATTAATGACTGAAATACACTTGTAGCCAAAGGCCATTATCTCTAGACTCTTTAACCTCTAGAATTTCTAAAGCCAAAGTTGTAAACTTCAGATCCAGCACATCCTTCAGAGAATAAATCACATACAACTTTTTTTCATTAGCTACTGAAATGTCTGAGTTTAGGGAAATTCTGAATAGCTGGCTGCTAAGTAGCATTAAACTGTTACTGGTGACAGTGCTAAGTGAACACCCCATCCCAAGTTTTTAAACTGACTGAATAGGAAACAATCCAAAAGACTCTTTACCAAATTACACCTTCAAGAGGGCAACCTACTTTCTGGAACCCCTTCTGTCTCTCTTAGAAGCTCTCTTTCTCTCAATAAATTTTTCCTACTCAAAAAAATTTACACTTTCTAATTCATCTTAAATATAAGATCTATTTCCAAATTCTTCCTGCTATTTGCTTTTATGTTGAAATGATTGAGACTATTGACTATGGCATTTTTTTTCTACTTTGCTCCCCACTTCAGAATTCACTTTCAGAAAAGTCATCTTGAAGTGTTTTATAAATAAGAAAAAATTAGGCCAGGCATGGTGGTGCATGCCTGTGATCCCAGCACTTGGGAAGCCGAGGCAGGAGGATCACCATGAGTTTGAGGTCAGCCTAGGCTACACAGTGAGTTCAAGGCCAGACTGAATTACATAATGAGACCCTGTCTCCAAAAAACAAAAATAAATAAATAAATAAATAAATAAATACTAAATAGTAAGACTGGATCTGTACCAAGAAGTATGTGCACAGTAGAGAAGTCACTTGACAAAATCAGAAGATTATAATCCTAGTTTCACATCTATGCTTCCTTGCTGACCCTGGGCAAATCATCTCATTTCTATAAGCCTCAATTTCCTCATCTGTGAAATAGAGAGTATGAAACTACCCAGGGAAAGCAAGCACAGGACATCCTAAACCCTCAGAGAAAACAATAAGCCCTACAGTCTCCTCAGAACTTCCTGGGTCCTGTCTGAAAACTACAGAGGTTCTCCGAAAGTGGGGACAGGAGAGTGACATTTCCTATGCCTCCATCAGCAGTAGCCAATGAGTTCATCAGTATAATCTCATCCAAAGTGTCCTTTCACTCTCTCTTCCCCAAGTCCAGTTGAACTTTCACCCAAGTTGGTGAACTGTCATCTAGCCCCATCCTCCAGATGCTCACAGGGAGCATGCACATGCCTTAAAGAAGGCAACGCTCAAGAGTGCCAACAACTACAACTGGAACGTTCTTTACTATGAGGTGGCCTCCTGAGAAACTAATTTAAAGATATATTCATCACTGAATGGACATCCTCAGGGATCAAAACCCAAATAGTGCAAGCTCTCTCATTAGGTACTTCCTTTAGGTCATTTATATTCTTTACCACATGAATATTCTAAATGAGGTCAAAAAACAGACTTACCACCACACCCTCCTTCTCCTTTTGTCATCTAGCATTTTTAAGGACTCAAACAATGGCAAAGTTGAAAACTCTAAATGACACACCTGCCCCACCATTCAATTCCATCCCAGGAAAATAACTGCCTGGCTTGGTGAGTCATAAGGAAATAATGCCTGTTTCCTTCCTATGAGGAGCTTTGTTGACTTAACAGCTCCACCACTTGAGCATGCAGAGAGTATTATAGGGCCCACAGTTTTGTTACTGAGTGTTCTTAAAGCTTAGTGTTAATACCATACCAACAGCAGCAAATGATACTGCAGAGGTCTTCAGAGCCATTTATAGAACAAATGGAACTCACCCCTTCCCAAGTGTCTACAGATAAGGGCTTGAGCCAGCATCATCTGTCCACAGCGCAGCATACATCCCCAGCCAGCGTCTGATGAAGGGCCGGTTCCTCCTGTTGGCCAAATTGGATGGGAATGAATACAGGTACCTTAAATTGTCTTTTCCTGAGAAATCAGCATATTTGTGATTCGCACAAGACAAGAAAATACACATATGCTGAAAATGGAGGAAAGAGATACAGAGATCAAATAGGGTTTGTATATATGTTTGAAACTGGCAATGATAATGCTAAGTCAACCAAAACAGCTTCTACAGACAAAGACAAAGCAAACAAATGACTAAACCTATCCCTTAAGTTTTCTGCTTGGAGACTTCTAGGTATACATACAATGTTGACAGTCATCATGTATGACTACCAACACTTAGTCCACTCTGTGTCATCACTTGCCAGACCAAACTTTGCCTTGTATAGTTTACCCACATGGCCCTGGATGTCTCATTAAAGGAAGCCTTATCTTAAAGAACAAATACTGCCAGAGGCAGTCATCACAATGATCGAAGACATTTGGAAGGCACTTGACTATTCTAAATATATATTATAAAGATCTGAACAAGAACAAAGTAAAATAAAGGAAAAAGTCCTAGATTAGTTATCAGAAGACTAGTCTCTAATTTCATAATCTAAGTCTTATCTATAGACTGGAGATAATAATATACACTCTGCCTACTAACAGTGGGTGCTGTAAGAATTAAATGAGAGAATTTCTTTGAATGTGTTTGAGAACCTACACAAGATGATGATGCAAATACCTAGTGTTATGAGTATAGAAATAATATAAAACACTATTAAGAAATTAGAAATGTACTATATTTTTAAAATGTACAAAACCAGTTAATAAATGAAATGAGACAACAGGTTCCATTTTAAAAACAATTGATGTGAAGAAAAGTTCATGTATGTGGCTAGGGTGAGCAATCTATTAATATCCTTTTTCAAGGGACCAATGAAACCAGATAGGTTAGATGACAGAGAGGACATTTTGCTTTCCTTTCCCTACACAGAAGTTGAAAAGTATGCTTAAGCATGATCTCAGAAGATTAATTTTTTTTGGACCAGGGACCGAACTGGGACCTTGCACTTGCAAGGCAGGCAGTGGAACCACTGAGCTAGATCCCCGGCCCTCAGAAGATTAATTTCAAAGGGGGTCATCAATCTTGCAAGACAAGGGTGCTAAAGTGGTCACTCCTTCCTTTTGTTGTGGGGATGAAGGAGAGTTGCTACAGCAAGATGGAGAGGAGTACACCAATTAGTGAGCTAGGAGGGAAGTCCTTTGGTTCTTGCTAACACTGAAATTACAGGCCAGATTAATGTGGAAAAGGTACAATGAGGTACACATAAAGAAGAGATCATCAGGCCAGGGATTTAGCTCAGTGGTTCTGCTGCCTGCCTTGCAAGCACAAGGTCCTGAGTTCGATCCTCAGTACCAAAAAAATATTTAAAAATTACCTCAAAGAAGAGATCATCTATTGACAAAATGTTGTCAGAGTTGAATATCTTCCAGCCTTGCAAAGAATTCCTCACCCAGAGAAGGATAACCATTTAGAAATACTGGGTGATAAAGATTGTTCTTTTCTGTTACTGCTTGGGGACTTTCTATGAAGAGTAAAGAAAATGCGGAATTTGGCTTTAGTATCTTTGTTCAGAGACAGCCCGGCAGATCGTCCCTATAATAAAGGTTTGTTGTGGCCTGGTCTCGTCTTGGTTTTCAGCTCTTTTTACCTGACATGTCTAGTGCCGAAACCTGGGAGGTAGGCGATCGATTCAGTGATGGACGAATCCCCATGTGTCGGGGTCAACTGGCCTTTTGGCTGCCTCCTCTGGACCACATTTGCTGAGTCAGGACCTTCTCAGGGCTTTCTGCCTTTGCCATTGCTGATGCTACCCATCCACACTGGTCACCAGTCTATGGATGAGTAGGCAGCTCAGCCTTCCTCTCATTGAGTTCTCTGTCTTGCTCTCATTCTCTCCCTCTGGGGACTTCTCAGAAATCCAAGTGCTTGGTCAGAGAGACCCCTCGGCCGCTGGGCCCAGGACCATGTCCCATTGGCCCAGCTCCTCTCATTCTCTCCCTCTGGAGACTCACTCAGAGATTGTCAGAGGAGACAAGGACTCTCCTCTCTTTTGTCCTTCTCGTAGGGAGCTGCCTCCTCCTTACCCATTCCAACAATCCAACCCCCACCCCCACCCCATGCCTCTAGTCTGCCTCCTGGCACAACTCAGGCCCCTTGGATTGTTGGGACCAGACTTTAAGCCAAAAAGACTTGTTTTCTATTGCAATCGGGTTTAGCCTCAGTACAAATTAGACAATGGGTCTCAATGGCCCGCAAACAGCACTTTCGATTTTAACATACTGCGTAATTTACAGTTTCTGTCAACACAATGGCAAATGGTCAGAAATCCCCTACCTACAAGCCTTCTTCTACCTATGCTCTCAACCCTCCCTCTGTCAAACCTGTTCACCTTCTCAGGTACTTCCAGCCGGAATTCCGTCGCCCACCCCTCCCAATCCCACTCTCCGATGATTCTGATGCATTCGATCCAGCCGATCACTCACTGCTTACACCTCCCCCACCATACAACCCTGTAGGCTCTTCTTCCATCTCTTCAAGTGCTTCTTCACCTCTGCCATCTTATGACCCTTCTTTGTCCCCGCCATCTTGTGACCCTCGTCTCCTCCTTCATCTCTGCCATCTTGCGTTTCCCCACCCCACACCCGTTCTCACTACCCCACCCTTCCAACATTGGCCCCAGCCACACAGATGCCTCTCCAAGAGGTTGCTGGGACCGAGGACATTGTTAGAGTACATGTCCCCTTCTCTTTCTCTGATCTTTCTCAAATTAAAAAACACTTAGGCTCCTTCTTCTCTGACCCTGATGTCTATATTAAAGAATTTCACTACCTTACTCAGTCCTATGATATGACCTGGTGAAATATTTACATGATTCTCTCAACTACTCTCTCCCCAGAGGAACGCCAGAGGGGTCTAAAGGGCAGCCCAGAAAGCAGCGGATGATTTCCATGCCACAAACCCAACCAAGCTAGTAGACACACAGGAAGTACCAAATACCCAATCTGATTGGATTTACCAGGATGGTGACCCAGGCAGAGATCTCCAGGACTATATGATTGTTTGTCTCGGAGAAGGCGTAAAGAGGATTTCTCAAAAGACTGTTAATTTTGATAAGATCAGAGAGATAACTCAGGGACCCCCCAAAAAAAATCCAGCACAGTTTCTTTCTAGATTGGCCGATGCCCTTCAAAAATATACCAAAATTTATCCTACCTCCCAGGCTGACATGATCATCATTAATACTCACTTTATCTCTCAGTCAGCCCCTGATATTAAGAGAAAGCTAAAAAAGGTTAAAGAGGGTCAAGCAAGGCTTGCACTAAGATTGAAAAAACTGAAAAAAAAGTGATAGATTAAAAACAGCTAGAAAAGCTCTGAAGAGCATAAAACAAACTAGTGAGAAAAAAAACACTCCTGACTTTAAAAGCCAAGGCGAGCGCTGTTATCCCAAAACAAAGCCAGAGAAACTACAACTGTGCTCTACCAGACATCAAGAGATTTTACAAAAAAAATAAAGTTACAAATTTTAGCTAATTGATAAATGTATTTGTTTCAATTTGAGTTGATGTTTAATTGGTGTGCTTAAAACACTTCTTGTGCATTGTAAATTCTTGAATTGTAATTATAGAGTTAACTTGCTCTTTTCTGTACTTTGTTGATGAAAAACTCAAGGTTACCACTGTTGACAACCAGTCAAATTTTAACATGTAACAATCTGAGAACAGAAAAAAAAAAGGGAGGAGCACTTTAAAATTTTAACAGCTAAAGACAAGCTTGTTATAGAAGGTTTATAGTGAGTCAGAGGAAAAATACTTAAAAAGCTATAAGTAAAAAATATATTTTTGATATGAAAGGATTTTGTATGTTTGTCTTGTTAGAAGGACAAGACCAAAAGGCCTAGGTACGCCGAGAAGGTGTGCAGAAGTGATTTATCAAGGAAATATGTATGTTTGCTTGTTGGTTTCAAGTTTGTTATAAAAGGTTTACAGAAAGAGGGTTTTTTAAAATTCTTTTATTGGTACATTTTAGGTATACAACACATTTACATTTCTCATTGGGAACTGTACCTTTACATGATGCATCTTGGTTCTTATTTTTTCCCCATTCCTAGCCCTCCCTTCACGCCCTCCACCCTTCCCTATTTACAAAGACTTTATTTCCATTTTTTCCATTTCTCATCATTTTTCCTTTCCCTTCTTTCCTTTCCCCTGCCTCTCCCACTTCCCCTACCCCCTTGGACCTTTTCTTCCTATTTTACATTATCAATTATTCATTCTAATCATTGGTGCATTTTAGGTATACAATATAATGACATTCATCATTGGAAATTTGCACCTTTACATAATCTGTCTTGATTATTATTTTTCCCCATCCCCCTGCCCTCCCTTCAACCCCTCCATTCCTCCCTATTTACAAAGACTTTGTTTCAATTTTTTCATTTTCTCATAGTAATTCCATTCCCTTCTTTCCTTTCCCCTACCCCTCCCATTTCCCCTTCCCCTTTGCCCCTTTTCTTCCTACAGAAATAGTTTTCATTCCTTCCGATTCTAATTCTACAAGAGATCTCTGTTAATTGACTTACAAAAGTTTTGACTAGTCTTATTTATAATTATAAACCTAAAAATTATAAAGAGATATTATAATTCCCATTGGGCTAAATATATTTGAGTACATTCTAGTTTTATAAATTGTCTTATATGTTTATGTTTTGTCCAATCGTACAGCTGTTTTGTTTATAGATAAAGGTTAAGTTCAAGGCATGCTCCCCTTGGGAAACAAAGGACCGGCCACATGGAAATATTTTCCAGTTCTGTTCACTAGGGGACCTCAACAGTTTTCAGTCTTACAACAGACTGACCTGATAGTTTTCATAGCTTTATAAAAGACTTACATCAATAAATATTACTTAAATGTATTATTGTACTATGTTTACATCAATTGTCACCAAAGTGATAAATTCTAAATATGTTATTATGGTATGTTTACATTGGTCATTTTCAAAGGACTAAATTTCCTGTAAAAAACAACAATAACAAGGTTTTATTTTTTTCTGGTGTACTAAATATATTTATACTTTCTAACTGTACAGGTTTTCTAATATGTTGTTTATGATAATAACCTCTTTTTGATTCAGATATTTGCCTTTTTCATACACTCCAGCTATTTATGATAACAGGTACATTTATGGGCTGAGATATTTTCTTTAGATAGTATCCTATCAAAAGATAATAATGCAGGGGCTGGGGATTTAGCTCAGTGGTTCCGGCACCTGCCTCGAAAGTGCAAGATCCTGAGTTTGATCCCCAGTACCAAAAAAGAAAAACAAGATAATAATTTAGATAAAAACTTTTGGTGTTTTTTAAAAATGAGTATGTTTAACAATGGCTATTTTATATCAAGATGAACATTTAAATGTGTTACAAAGGTAAAGTCATCATAATTGTCATGTTAAAATATTATTTGTGGCTCTTTTTCTGTTAATATTCTACAGGAATTCAACTACTAGAACAACCATGACTGATAACAATAACAGTTGTCTATATTTTAAATTCCAAAATGCTTGCTATTCAGGTAAAATTGTAATAGTTAAGTTCACTACTCTTTTCACAATGCTAATGATATTCACCTTCTCTTTTGGGTGTTCAACAACTAAAGTCTGGAGACTAAAACTAGAAAGGTAACTATGAGGACAGCCAATATTTTGGCCCCGGCCCCTCAAGGTCAAGAAAGATCCAGGACATGAGGGAACCTTCTCTACAGGATCCTACATCTTTGGTAAGTCACTCAACCTCCTGAACAGGGTGATTGCTGGGCACCAGAGGACAATGTACCATGTACCAAAGGAGGGTCAGCAAGAAAAAAAATCTCCCATGCTTTCACTGAAAGCAACTTAGTCAAACAAGGCCATGTCCCATCCTGATGGCTGACACTGATGGAGGAACAGAGAGGCTTTATGCATGGTTCCAAAGTAATGGCCAGGGGAGACTTAACTGACCTTGATAGCAAGAGGTTCATATTGATTGACACAGGTCTCACTTTAACTTGGTCTTAAACACCCCACAGAAAAAAAATAACCAAAAGAGGTATAAAATAATGACATAATAATAAAACTAGACTTCAGAGAAATTAAGACATAGCCCATCCATAAAAATCTTTTGGTTCACTCATGACACAGCCATTTAAAAGCAAAAACAAAAAAACAAAAATTTGGGGACTAAATAGAAGGGGAAAATCATTACTTACCTACAAGTGTGTATAGATTCTTTTCAGAGAAATTAAAATAAGCTCTTTGCAGGTGTCCAGTCCTAGAAACCATTGGTCTCCAGATCTCTCCTTTTAGATAAGTGTTTTTCTGATTCTGTGATAACTAATTAACTATTGTGTAGGGATCAAAAAAAAAACATAAAGTAAGAGTATTGGGGAGAAGATCACCTGCTTGTCAGCCACAGTCAGGATAAGTTCTATACTGAGCAGCTACAAGATCTATTCCTTTTAACTATCAACCTAAAGTGTGTTTTCATGGCCTTGAATTTAAGGACAAGTCAGGTTCATAGTAACACTGCACTCATTGATATGTTGGCCTCCAAAAGATATAAATTGTGTTTATCATTTTTCCATTCATTCTCTCAGAGCAAGGATATGATACATGGGCCCTTAGATCATGAGCTATGATCTCTTCTCTTACTTCTGTAACAGTCTCTTACTTCTATAACAGATGAGCCCCTAAACATCCAGCTGTCTCTGTAAGACCTATGTAAATGATGAGAGAAATTACACATCAAATGAGGGAAAGACTTAAGACTGAATGGGCCAGATATGCCCCCCAAGGTGCTAATCAATGGTGGGATACGTTTGGATCCTGGAGCTCATGGCTCCCCTGGCTATTACCACTCTTGGGACCCATCAGTATTATCTGTCTGATCCTCTGTTTTGGACCGTGCTTGTTTCGCTGTTTTCAAAATTTCTTGCAGGAACACATGAGGGCATTTACCAACCAGACAGCTACAGAGCTCATCATGGTGGGGTACCAGCCATTGCGGCAGAGGGAAAAAGCCCCCACCTACAGCTGCCTCCATCAGATCCAGGTTTAGCCCTAACCTTTGCCCCTTTGTCAGCTTGAAGCAGCACCAGAAGAGACCTTCACCCAACAACCATAAAACAAAGCCTGGAGTGGTAGATTTCCCTCACCCTAACACAGCTACTATATATAATAGCTTCCATCTTCCCATAATGCCCTGCTCCCTACCTAAAGCCACCCCAAGATGGCTTCTTCCACCAAAGGACAACCTTCTTCCCAACATGCCCCTATTCCAGCCAAAAGAGTAACCTAATACTTGCTCTCCTCCTAGCAACTAGTGACTTCACAGCCTCCTCCAGTCCCTAGCCACTACCCCATTCAACCCCACCCCAGCTCCTATAAAGAGCGCTCCCTGACCCGGCCATATTGCTTTTGTCTCTCAACTTTGTTCAGAGACAGCCTGGCAGATCATCCCTATAATAAAGGCTTGTTGTGGCCTGGAAAAAAAAAAAAGAAAGAAAAGAAAATATGGGATTTCATTTTTGGTCCTTCACAGAAAGGTTGATTTTACCCCATCTACTAGGTCCAGTCCTGCCTTAAAATTGGTCAGACAGGCTTCCACTTAGGAGAGGAGCTTCCACCATTTCCACCTAAAGGGCCATGATTTTAGGAAGTGACCACCCTGCTTGTAAACATTTTATAAATCCTCTCTTAAGGAAGCATATTCACTTAACTTACTTATCTGTCTTTTGTTTTTCTAAATGACAGCTAACACACTAGAATTAGTTCTAAGGAATCTATCATAACTCATCTCCAATGTCAAGGTGCTTTCATTTTGGAATTATTTTCTTTCCTTCAAGGCACAATTATTATTAATAATCAAATAGTTCTGCAAAACAGTGAATTGTCATTTAATAGATATCACCCAAATTAAAAGCTGACTTGACTTTTCCTTACTCTAAAAAGTAAAATAAATAATACCGTCTGGTGTCTGAATAGTTGGAGGTGGAGTCAAAAGTATACTGGTATAGCATGTCAACACCACAGAACCATGTGTGATGAGGTACTTAAGCAATCAAACTTTTGGGTGGAGTATAAGACTTACCTACTCCCTTAAATCAAATGCTTTGCCATTGTGAGCTGTTAATTCTGAGGTTTCTAAGAAGTCACTGATAACCTCAGGCAAGCTATCTCAAGGAAGAATGCACAGTACAACAAATGCTATACATACCAATTGGTGAAAATTTCCTTCTGTATGTAAACCAGAGACGAGCACTTATATCAGACAACAGCTTAGATTTTTCTGTAATTAAATGGGAAAATAAAATTACATCACCACATTCCATCCTAACATGACTGTGTTTGATTTCTAACCCAGTAACAAACTTACTTGCAAATAACCAATCAATTCCATGTTATAGGCCTAGGGAAAATTCATAGGAAACCCAATCTCATTTTAGCCAAATAATTTCAGTATTTCCCCTCACTTCTCTTTTGGCCAGGGATACTATACTGGTCAGTCAAATGATATTGGGTGGTTTCTGTCTCTTTCTCATTGAGTACCATGGTCCTGGAAGGTACTAACACTGAAGTCATGGCTAAAAGACAAGGACTAAGGAAAGAAAGGATCCTAGACAACTCACTCTTAAAGCAATCATTCCCAGTCTGAATGATGATGATTGGCTGTATCTCTCACCATTACCCATTGTCTGTTATAAAAAACTAGGGGGTTGTTTGTTTATGTATGCATGTGTGTTTACATGTGCAATGTATGCATTTAACTGAAAAAGAAATATCCCCACTAAGCAAATTAAATGTGCAAGATATTTACCCATAATACCTAGTACAACTGGTATTTGTAGTCTAAGTCAATATATAACATCACAAATGTTTTGTCTTTATTCAAAACATGCTTTCTTGCATTTTATGACAAATTTACTTCAGTGGCCGCCAATACAACTTCCTCATTTCCATGTCTACTTAGATGTGGTTTTTTTTCTTAGTCATCTCTTGCCCTCTTAAAAACATATCCATATTTTTATTCTGTATAGAAATTACAGTCATCACACTTTAAAAGAAGAGAGAGAAATTCAATTTTAACCAATAGTTTCCATTTTCCCTCATTCCTTTCCTTTAACCAAATCAGAAACTTGAGCTATCTGGATTTCCCTTCCCCTCCCTAGCCCCAGTGCCTAGCATATTTTGGGAAGCAGATGTATAATGCTTAAGAGTTAAGATTTCTAGAGTTACACACTGCCTCGGTTTGCACCTTGATTCTGCTACTTACCAGCTGTGTGACCTTGTTACTTAACCTTTCTCAGCTTCAGTTTCCTCATTTTCAAAATGGGGAGAGTAATATCTACTTCATTGAGTTGTGAGCATTCAAAAAGATAATACAGGTAAAGTGCTTAGATGGTGCTATGTACACAGTAAGCCTGTGCCAAACATCAGCTGTTATTATATAGCTGCCTTCTCAAATGTTGATACCACACCCTCACACCTCTGCAGCTGGTGTTCAGTCTAGCTTGCTCATATGCTGGGAAGATAACATGAACATTTTAACAATAATTTCACTCAAAAATGTATTTCCCAGCTTAGTATTTAACTATGGGCATATTTAGCAAACTGGGGCTTCTTGTTATCCTGGAAAACAGAAATCCAATCCCTACACTTCAAGTACTGGAGAAGGAAGTTAAGATGTACAAAGAGATAATGACTTTCCTAAGTTAGGAGAAGAGTTTAAAAACAAGTCTCCTAATTGCTATCTCCAGACTCTCTCCTTGTTCACAAGTCTCCAATCAAAATAATGAAGCCAGACTCAAGAGGAGGGGACAATGCCTAAGTTCCTCTCCTACTTTTTGATCAGCTTCTTCCTTTTCCTTACTTAGCATGCTAAGGACTACTGAAGAGGATCTCTCAGAAACATAAATCTCAGAGTGGCCTCTTCCCAAGCTCTGGCTTTATTAGGTACTGAATCATTAGCAGTTTCAGGTTAAAAAGTCTTTTCTAATCTATAAGACTGTAACAGTAAAGAAGAAAAATTTAAGCTCATGTTCCATCTAGTTGCAGTGGTTGAAAGTTCTACCCAAAACCAGAATAAACTGAGACAGTGCTAAAGTCAGAAAAAATATTTAAAACATAAGACTTTGTATGTCTGATATTGTTTCTGACAGCCATGGCTTGTTTAGAAGTACCTGAGTGTTTCTATCAAGATGGACAACAATGTGAGATAAATGAGAAACATACAGCCCAGTTACCAAAGACTAGATACTGTTCGGTGATACCAAGAATGGGTCCATGTTTTTTGAAACCCAGTATTTCTAGAACTTGGAGGTTCTCCTTTAAGAAAAAGAATTTAAAAAAAGAATAAAAAAAGAAAAAGAATAAAAATGTATTATTTTTACAAATTGTACAAAAAACTGAAACTATATTTGAACATACTACTAGGGACTCTCGGGATCTTGAAAGGGGCCTATGCAGCAAGCAGGGGATTGAGGCTTATATTCCATTTGCTACACTATATATCTGTCTCAGAGTAGCATCAACACTTGTCAAGGAAATGGCTCTATCAACCCAAGAAGGAAAGCAGGGCAGGTCCTTAGCTTCAGGTGCCCACCTTAGTTGGATTGTCAAAGACAAATGCTGCCAAGCTATACCTGTTTTAAGGAGATGCTGCTTCCCCAGGATCCATACAAGCTCGTCTGTATCTGGAAATTCTTCTAGGTAGTCAGCAAAAATAGTAATCTGGTTTTCATACTTGGATAAAACTGAAAGAAACATAGCAAAATTTAACATCTCTTTTGATCTTCTTTTTCTCAAAGTCCCATTTAAACCATCTCGAAAAATCTGGCCAGTTACTTCAAAACCTTTCTCCCCAATGGGGAATTATTTATAAATACATGCTTATCTAGCTTCTCCTAGCAGGGGGTTATCAAGGTGAGACAATAATACCTACATACATGACTTTCTTATGTCACAGGGAGTTTTATGGTGAGGATTCTAGTGTCCAGTGGCTTATAAGGGACTGTGACAAGCCTGAAAGATTATACAACTGTGAAAATGGTAATGTTTTAGTTGCAAGACCAGACGTTCTTTGTAGTATTTGATTTGCCATTTTATCCAGCTATGGTTTCTACAAAGAAGACTCTTGAGGTAGATAATAAACATAACTTTACTCTTGGGCTTCACAAATGACTATTGTGATGCAGTATAATAAGAAATATGTATTTCATCTTTGTCCCTGTTTTCTGGCATAAAGCTCCTAAAACTTTTGTAATTTCCCAAGAACTAGGGGTGTTAGGTGCATGTTTTGTTCCAATATTGGATCTCCGGCCTCAGTTCCAGATACTGAGCTTCTAGTTCCTTGGAATCTTCTGGGTAATAGGACAAGTTTTGTTCTAAACAGGCGACTTTTGATGAGCTCTCGGATGAGGGTTAGTCACCAGAAAGACTAAACAATGATTAGAAGCTTGAAAGCTTTAGCCCCATCCTTCATCCTCTGGAAAAGGGGAGTGAGGCTGGAAATTGTATAAAATAGATCATGTCTACCTACATGATACCTCCCTAGAAAACTCTGAACTCAGGGGTTTGGAGAGCTTCTCAGTTGCTGAATATGTTGAGGTGTCTGGAGGTTTATATGGCTAGAGAGGGCAAAGAAGCTCTATGCTCCTTCTGCTGTACCTTGCTGCCTCCTCCATCAGGGTCTCATCTACATCCTTTGCAACATTCTCTATGATAAATGGGTATGTGTAAGTAAAGTGTTTCCTTGAGTTCCATAAGTCATCTCAAAACTTATAAAACCTAAGGAAAGGATCATAGGAATCCAGATTTATGGTCACTCAGTTAGGAGCACACAACTTGGGTCAAAACCTGGGAGTTGTGACTAGCATTTAAAGTTAGGTAGTCTTGTGAGACTAAGCTTTTAACCTATGGGACCTGACTCTAAATCCAGGTAGATATTGTCAGAATTAAATTAAGATCACACTATGAGTGTCTACTGCAGAATTCCTGGGTATGTGGGGAACCTTACACACACACACACACACACACACACACATCTAGTGTCAGAAGTGTTGAGTAGTAAGTGTGAGAATAGCAAAAAAAAGTTTGGTTTTTCCTATCTCTAACTCTGGTTAAATCTCAAGATAAAGTAATCAAATGAAATAAAATCTTATTAGTTTACAGGCCGCTTTTTTAAGTTATGACCTTATGACCATATAATATGAGAGGAGTTAAAAATTAATTTTCGTACCAGCTATGAGGAAGAAGTTTGCTCTAAGACTCAAGACTGTCTTATGAAAGGGCCCTAGCTCCAAATTTTTTGTAAATAATTTTTGGGGGAATAGTATTCTAGATAGTAAATAAGTTTTTAAAGAAGCCCATAAGACAGGCCCCACCCAGAAGCCTGCCAGGACAACAGCTACAAAGGCAAGTAGGTCCCAGGCAGAGGTCCACCCGGATACCATTGGGAAGGGCCTGCAGGCCCCAGGCAAAAGCCCTCCCATACAACAGCTGCACAGGCTGCAGCCAGGGCCCTTCCCAGACACCAGCAGCTTGGGTATGCAGGTCCCAGCCAAAGGCCAGCCTGGAAAACAGGTGCGCAGGCACACAGGCCCCAGCCAGAGGCATGCCCAGATACCATTGGTTGGCACATGCAGGACCCAGCCAGAAGTCTACGCACACACCAGTAACTAGGGTATACAGACCCTAGCAAAAGGCCCACCCAGACAACAGCTATGCAGGTGGACAGGCACCAGCCAGAGGGCCGCCAAGATACCATCACTAAGTTTGCACAGGCCCGAGCCAGAATCCCACACAGACAACAGCCCAGCACAGTGATCCAGAAGCCAATAATTTGGAACCCAGGAATTGTTGTAGTGGTGAGCACCAGAGAGAAGGCCTCTCTGAGGCTCACTGAGAATTGAAGCCCTCTGAGAGAGTAGAGTCATGTTAATAAAGGTGCAGCACACTGCACTGCTTGAAATGAGAAAACACCTAAACAAGACTCAAAACCAGACTTCCAGATCACCAAAGGTAATCCCAAGGGGCAATGAGATGGAACAATCTGAAACTCAACCACCGGGACTCCCTAAACTGGCAACAAAAAAGGATCTGGAAAAAAGCAAATCAGAAATACTTTCTCAGATAACAAGAGATATTGTATCCATAGTGGAAGACATAACTAATAACTCTAGAGCAGACACAGATTAAAAATATAGAGGAGCTGAGGAACATGATGGAATCCTAGCATAGGAAACAAATGGAATCCATAAAACAGATCCAAACAGATATCCAGGAGATTAAAAACTCAATTGAAAGTTTACACAGCAGAATGAGCCAATGTGAGGAGACAATATGAGATATAGAAGACAGGATTGCAATTAGTGACTAGGAAAAGAAACATTTCTTAAAAATAGCAAGACACCATGAGAAATCAACCCAGCAGCTGCTAGATGATGCAAAGAAAAATAACAGAAGACGGACTGGAGTCAATAAAGAAACAGGAGATAATATAAATGACATAAAAAACTGTTCATACAGTAATGGCAGAAAACTAACCAAGAACGAAAAAATAATTTGGCATACAGATAAGTGAGGCATATAGGACTCCAACTACCTGTGATAAAAAATCTACACCTAGGCATATAATAGTCAATATTCCATAAACCACCATAAGAACAAAATATGACAAGCAGTTAGAGAAAAGAAAAAAAATCACATAGAAAGGAAAGCCCATCAGAATCACAGCATACTTCTCAACACAAACCCCCAAGGCAAGAAAAGCCTGGAGTGAAGTATTGCAATCCCTAAAAGAAAACAACCTCCCTCACCCCAGCAAGAATGGCAACTATCAAGAAATCAACCAATAACAAATGCTGGCGGGGTGTGGGGATAAAGGAACCCTTCTCCACTGCTGATGGGTGTGCAGGCTTGTGCAACCACTGTGGAAATCGATATGGAAATACCTCAAAAAACTAGGATTAGAGATCCCATTTGACCCAGCTTTTCCTCTGCTGGGTATCTTCCCAAAAGAATTAAAAGAATCATACCACAGGGATATACGTGTGCCCATGTTTTTAGCAGCACAGTTTGTAATAGCTAAAGCTTGGAAACAGCCCAAATGCCCATCAACTGGAGATTGGATAAAGAAGATGTGGTTATTTTATAAAATGGAGTACTACTCAGCCATAAAGAATGAGAAACTAGAGACATTTATAGCTAAATGAATGCATATAGAGGCCATACTCTTAAG